TCTAATAACAGTAGAGCAAGCCTCATCCCACTCCTGTGGACCTGCCTCATGACATAGATGTGAGGAATTTTTGTATGTATTTTAAGCTAAATAGGCACCAAATCTACATTAAAAAAATCAGATCATAATGATCAAATCATTATTTAAGAAATAAGGGAAGAAGTGAGGCAAATTGTCAGCTTTATTCTTCTGTTTATCTTGTGTCTCGTCCCTCAGGTTGGGAAATACTGACTTACTTACTTACTTAATTGAAATTGCTTAGTTTCTTGAGCAAACAATAAACACAAAGACATAAGGTTGACAGGATTCTGCATTTGGTGATTTTATCTTTTGTTATTATGTAAATTGCAGGTGTTCCTGATAAGTTTCAAGGATACTGGGTTAGGGTTAAGGAATGACCCTAAGTGCCTAAATCCAATTGACAAAAGAGCACATTAATTATGTAATCTTCACATGCCAGTGAGAAAAGCTGTTCCTGAGAACACACATGCAGTGAAATGTGATTTCTTCAGCTTTTATTCCAGCTTCATTCTCCCTCCTTCCTCCTCCGTGTCGCTGGCCCTCAGAGACCTTGCGAGACTCAGGGCAGCTCACTGGCTTGTGACTCCTCTTTATTGAGGGGCAGATATTAGCTATCTGTTTACATGTGTACTCGTTCAGCAGGCAATTTCAGATGCACTTTGTTTATAGATCGTCCCTCAATCTCCCCCGGCGTCTCCCAGGTGAGAGTAAGAGGGAGTTTATTGGATTTCACCCTCCGCTGCCTCGCCTGCCCACCTCTCCATACAAGTTGTTCATTAAACGTTCCAGTCAATTGGCTGAGATTGGTTGTGATGTCTGAGTGACTGAGCATGGCGCCCCCCCTAGGCCACATCATGAATTATACTATCTGCTGAAAGAACCGCTCCATCCTTCTTCATGTCAAAACACACATCCTCCATCACGCGGCTTAAATTCACTCATGGACATGACGAGACTGTGCATGAGGTTTTTTGGACGTGTAGTTGTGATTTCCAATTACAACCCCGCTTGGTATTTATCATCCTCTCCTTCCCCCCCCTCATTTAGCGTTCTAGGTTGCCCCATAGCCAGAAAGCGCCGTCTGGAGGAAGCAGAGGCTGAGCAGGAGCAAGACCAGGATACAGAGCAGCCTGCCTCTAAGAGGAAGGCCCACCCCCTGAAACTGGCCCTGGATGAGGGCTTCAGCATGGAGAGCGACGCCAGCAGTGAGGCTGAGGGTGAGGGAGAGAAGGATGAGGAGAAAGCAGGTGAGAGCAAGCAGGCGGAGGAGGAGAGAGAGGAGATGACAGAAGACCTGACGCAAGACGGGCAGAGAAATGAACGGAAGGAGGAGACACAGAAGGAGGAGGAAGAGGAGAGGGAAGAGACATATCAGAAGGAGGAGAGCACATTTGCAGCTGATGAAGGTAGGTTAATATTAACCACAGGCATTTTTGGTGAAGAAAGGTTTACTTCAACTCGAGGGCTTTTCAAGCAGTACTCTGTCTGTATATCATTTTTTAAAGAGGACCAGCCACTGACGAAATTATTAGTCGTTTAATTGATCAACATCAATTCTGACGACTGATGAATTCTGTAAGTTTACTCAACGAGCAAAACTGACAAACATACAATTGTGCCAGCTTCTCACGTGACTATTTGCTGGTTTTTCCTCCATTCTACATCAATGTAAATGTAATATATTTTGGTTGGTTTTTTTTGAGCGTCACAATCCTGCCAGAAAAAAATAATTTCACCATCAGAATTTGATGAATCCAGTTCTCCTTAATACTTCCGTAATTAGATCCTTAACGCCCACACTCACACTCCTAATGACCACTAGGGGCACAAGGACTTTGTGAATGAGTTTCTGTCTGCGTAACAAGCTGCTCTACACCTACAGACTCTGTTACAGTGGGTGTTTTTATTTCAGTTCACTGTGAATGACTTAGCAGGCAGGAAAACAATGTCATCAGTGATGATATAGATATTGCTGACAACAGCTTTATCTCACTTCATGACTCACTTGTTCCTCTGTGTCA